TTTTGGGCCCCATGTCAAGAAGCATGATTGGAAAGGGTCCAGAGCACAGCAAGAAAAATGCTTATGGGTCTGGGAGGCAGGACTTATGAGGAAAGTCTAAAATTACTGAGGTTGTTTAGTCTAGAGAGGAGAAGACAGAGATTTGGTAAGTCTCCAAATACTTGAAGAAGAAGAAGAGAGTGGATGTGGATGTGTTTTTCTCTATGGCTGTAGGGGACAGTATTAGGAACAATGGCCTCAAGCTACAGCAAAGGAAATTTTGGATTTGAGTAGGAGGAACTTTTGGAGTCTGAGGGTGGTCAGCCACTGAAATGGGCTACCTGTTGTGGAATCTCTGTCCTTGGAAATTTTGAAGAGCATGTTAGACAGACATGTGGCTGCTATGGTTTAGTCGAGGACAATCCTGCTTTAAGGGAACTGGGAGTAGACTAGATGACCTTGAGGGTCCCTTTCAGCCCTACTTTCTTATGATTGCTAGTTGGACTCTCCTGTCTTTGCTCAAATTAATACCAGCTGGGTCATTATGAGTAGTCCCATCAGCTTTTTTAGTCCAATGATTAATTCGGTATATTCAAGTACAAAATAAAATTACCTTACATTCTGTATATATTTTTCTGTTAGGAAATCACAATTTTGAAAACCTGTGTTTTTTATAGTACTGGATGCATGAGCCCTTCAGCATATCACCTGGAATAAGTCCTTCACAAATACTTTTTCTTGTCATGCATTATAGACAGGTATTTTTGCAGTAACACCTGTTTTCTGGCTTGATTCAGTGGTCTGTAAGAGATTCCTAACAATATCCACTGGTGGGCTTTATTCATTTTTATGTTGGTCTATGCTCTATTTCTGTTAGACTATTTTTTTTAATATTACTTGTAACCTTGCAGCCATAAAAAATGACTATGAAATGAAAAATCTTACGCAATGGCAAATGCGAGTGGTTTTCCCTTCTTGATTTTTTTTTACAAACTTAATTTGTACAATAACAGGTAGATGAAACTCAAGAAAACAAGAATAAGATGGAAACTGTTAAAGGAGATATGCAAAAACAGAAGGTGATAATGGAGGAACTGAAGAATAATCTACAAGCAGCTGAACATAAACTTGAAGAAATTAAAGACAAAATTCATCAAGTAGAAGAAGTAGCTGGTCCTGTGAAGGTAAAACTGATTTTTAAAAATGCGGTTTTGCTATAATATTTGTCTTATCTATGCAAAAGCATTTCAACAGCCTCATTTAGAGGTTGCCAAAACAAAGGTAAAGATGTCCAGAACATTTAACAAATGCACAGGGTAGTGGTTCTCAGCCAGGATGCCATGGTTACAGTAGACCTGTGAAACTATCCCATGCACCTCTGTTTCCAAGAGGCATGTGAGAGGCAAACCTTGAAGCAGCTGCAGCAGGAACAGGCTCTACTACCTTAGGTTTATCTGTATTAAATTCGTTGACTGCAGCCAGCTGTAGCCAGTCAGCACCAGCAGAAGACTTGGCCATGTTCCATTGATAGAAGCTTTATTTGATAAACCTAATGTAGTCAGGAGTGCAGCAGGGAGCTCTATGGACAATAACACCAGAAGCAGCCAGTGCAGACAGTGAGCAGCCAGGGATGGGCAGGTCTAAGCTACCTCCCTTCCTGCTGCAGCATTGGTTGCTAGACCTGCAGATTGATACAGCAGCCTCACAGGGATCTCTGCGAAGGTGCTGCCAGCAATGCACTGTCCAGCCTGACCTGTTTATTTTTTACATAGTCTGCTTAGCATTTGGTTAGGGCAGTGGTTCTCAACTGAAGGCCCACGGGGGAGTAGTCAGCTGACTTCACAAAACATTTCTGTGGAGCCAGGCAGTGTTGTGCTGAGATGTCAGACTACTCCATATGTACTACCTCCTGAAGAGAAAGCAGAATAACTTCCTTAGTGAGATGCTGCAAATGGGCTAATGACTTGAATGATGGAGTTAATTAATCCAGACACAGCAGTATACTAATTTGGCTGCGCTACCATTAGTATGTCCAGGCCCAGCTGGGAGGAGATAGAGCAGCAGGAAACTGCAAAATAGAGAATGTCTATGTGCTCTTCACGGGTAAGGAAAGGGAGAGCCCTATGTATGTGGAGGAGCAAGACTTATGCCACAGAAGGGCCTAGTTAATGCAAAGGAAGGGAACCATGCATATCTCTGCAGGTGTATTGCAGGGTTTTTTTAATGCCTAAACTAAGAAAAGTTCTGAAGAGGTGCCTCAAATCTAAAAAAAGTTTGAGAACCATTACCATAGGGGATTACTTGAGGTGTCTGAGCTAAATCCTGAGTGCACATCAGCCAGATCATCAGGTGCATGCTCGTAAGATAGTTATTCTCAGCCTTTCTGATCCTGTAGTCCATCTAAAGTAACTGAAAAATGATGTGTGTAATAACTAGAAATAATCTAGTTAGAACCAGAACTAGTGTAGTTTGCCCTGATGTTAGTTCAAGACAGTCCCAAGCACAGTTACCCAAATAGATCTGCAAGTCCTGCCAACCTGTGCTGGAGGTAGTGTAGCCAAATTAGTGTACTGCTGTATCTGAATTAATTTGCTCAGTCATTCAAATCACTAGCTCACTTGCAGCATTTCACTAAGAAAGCTATTCTGCTTTCTGTTCAAGAGGTAATACATGTGGAGCAGCCTGACATCTCAGAACAACACTGCCTGGGCCCACAAAAATATTCTGGGAAGTCCAGTTGACTCCACCCCTGTGGACCTCCAGTTGAGAACCACAGCCCTCACACAACTGCAAGCAGACTATATATGAATAAGCAGTAGCCTTTGATTTCTTCAAGAAAGAAATGTGACTAGTTGGAATGTTTAATATAGCTATTTAAAAATATGAGATGTACTTCTTTGCTAACTTACATTTGCATTCTAAACCTTTCTGTGGCCTTGTAAACAAAAATCAACTTTCTGTACTAAATATATGACTTATCTGAATTGGGATGTTTGTTTCATAGTTCTATTGACATATTTTTATAAGGCTAGTAATTAGTGAAGATGATGAGTGAGTAGTCAGTTGTCAGTAAGCTGTAAAGACAAGAGGGTGCCTCAGATTCCACACTAAGTAGTGTATAATCTGCAAAATTACGTTAAATGGAGAGGGTTAACAAGAAATGATTTTGGTTTTTCAAGGTTATAAATCGTTGCTGTAAACCTCAGAGAGACTTGAAGCTTAGGAGAATGGGCAATATAATGCTAGAACATATAGTAGTGGCATATAGAAGGTAACGCACAATGAAAGTAATAACTGGAATTACATGTACAAAATTGTGTTTTGCAACATCTCACGAGAGACTCAAAAACATTCAGTAAGCAGGGACAGTTCAAAAGATAAATGTTAGGATGTGCAAATTGTGATGGAAAATAATGCTGAAAATATGATGACACTATATAAATATTTGGCACACCCCATGTAAAACGTATATTGAGTGCTGATCTCTCTACATTCACAAAAGATGTAGTAGATATAGAAGTTATGTGGATAGGTCAAGGTATGTAGAAGAATAGATGCCTCTGTATAAGGAAATATCAAAGATCAACTGTATGGAGAGAAGAACCCTGAAGAGGAAAATTGCAGAAAGAGATGAAATACTGAATTATTTTGAGAAGATAAATTGTGTGCTGCCATTTACTCTTCTTCATAATTTAAATACAAGGTTTTGTTCAGTGCAACTCAAAAGGACATGTTTCATACAACACAACTATCCAGTGGTTCTGCTATATATCAAGGTCAAAGACACCCTTTTTTCTCACACACCATAGCCCCTCCCCACTCCCGTAAGAAGTGTACTTTGTTTAGGGAAAGCAAAACAAAGAAGAAAAGACTTCTATAATTATGGCTGCATAGAGCATGAACAGAGCCTAATCTTCAGCTTGCTCACCGCCCTGGCTTTCCTGATCAAACAAAAGCTGTAACTCCAGCTCCATGTGAAGACTGACCTCCATGGATGGATCTGTAATTTTGAAAAGAGCTAAAAACAGTATATAGGGCTGTGAAATAAGAGAGAAGGGAGCAACAGTAGTTAGTAGACAGCAAATTTTCCAGAAGAAAGGTTAGCTTGATTTAATGGAGCATCAAGACAGTTAAAAAGGAGAGACAGTTACGTTGGACTGACTAAGAAAGGGTCATGCGTCCATTCTGTAGCTCAACTTAAAAATAATAGGCATGAAGGAGAAATTTATTTTCTGGCAAGTTATGTCATAACTGTTTAGTAATGGGTGTTTTTCTCCTTCTGAAACACTTAATACTGATGACTGTTAGAGATAAGATGCCAGACTGTGTGGATTATTACTCTTACCTCATATGTTGCTCTGTTCCTCATATATTACAGTTGGAAAGCTGAGGCCCCTGGCAGATGTACAAGTAAAGGCATGATGAGGTTCGATACAAGATCTCCACAATTACACTTTCTTCCACATGGCAAGAGACATGATTGTGGAATCCAGCCTTGGATCCCATCATGTCTTATTGCCAGTGCAAGGATCATGATTCTCTCTGCACTGGCAGGTAGCAAGCTCCTGTAGCTGGATGCCCCATCAGCTGATCTGGGCTCCCAGCTGCTGGGTCACACCATGCACACCTGTGTCTAGGAGCCCCCAGCTGATCCTGGCTCCTAGGTTTCATCGTGTTTGGAAAGCTGTAACTTTGTTCCCCAGCCATACACTGATAAGCTGTTAGGAATTGCATGTGGTCTTTAGATAAGCAGCATTATGTTTTAGTCAAGGGAAAAATGTGAATTATCATCTTACTATACTTGTACTGCCAAAATTGAGCATATGCTCTTACATCAGTTACTGCCACTACCACTAGATTGTGAGGGAATGGCATTACTAAATGCAAAAACTCAAGGATCTTTTGGGTGGATCAGTAATGACTCAACATACTCCCCCATACTAAGGCATTAAACACAACGGAAGTATTAAAAAACCTACTAAAATCATTTTACATTTGACATTTTAATTTCTTCCAAACAGGATGAATTAAACCAAGTTGATTCAGAAATGGAAAAATGTAAATGCCACTGGCAACACTACGAAGAAAAACAGAAACAACATTTGGCATCCATAAACACCCAAAAAGAACTTCTGGCTTCTAAAGAAAAAAAATTGAAGGTATTGCAGTTTTTGATGTAGTGGTTGGTGGAGTATTGAAGATGGATATTCAAGCTCCAATTTATTACTTGGATACTCTTTGCTTCCCTCTTCAAAGTGGATGGACAGTACAGTCTTAACTGTCTGCTACCTAGCCACTGCTATGGTAACTAAAAATGATATACCCCAAGTAGAGAAAAATGTATTTAGCTGTGTTAGCCCTAAACCAGGAAGAAGGCAGGATAGGGTGGCATCTGTAGGATAAACTCATTCAGGAAGGCATAAGCTTTCATAGTCTTAAAGATATCAACCTGCGCTGCCTTTTATCTGAAAGTGACTTGAAATGGTCTTTTTTCTCTTTGACTTGTCCTAATGCTGTTGTAATTTAGGAAAGAGACATTAGAGTTGTCATAGATTAGTTTTCTAAAAACATCAGCTAGTGTGCAGTGGTGACAAAAAAGCCAATAAAGTGTTGGGTACCATTTAAGAAGGGAATTAGAAGCAAAACAGAAAACAAATCATCATGTCACTCTGCCAATCTGTGGTGCTTCTGCATCTTGAATGCTGTGCACAGTTCTGGTATTTGTATTTCAAAAAGTATGTAGTAGGATGACATATGGTTTAGAGAGGAGCAACCAAGATGGTCAGGGATATGGAGCAGTTGCCACACCAGGAAATACTAAAAAGTTAGGACTCTTCAATATGGAAACAAGAAGACTGAGGGGGAGAAGATGATAGAGGTCTTGAAGGGTATGGATTAAATCAATAGCGAACTGTTTCTCATCAAGTCTCAGAATACTTGAACTAGGGGACATCTACTGAAATTAGCAGGCGACAGGTGTAAAACTAACAGGAAAAAAAGAACTTTTCTTTTTACATAGTGCTTAGTTAAGTTGTGGAACTCATTACCACAGGAGGCTGTAGTAGAGGCAGGTAATATAGCCGGGTTCAAAAAGACAGATTCATGGATGATGGATCCATTAATAGCCATTAAACAGAATAGTCATGGATGTATTCTGTGGCATCTCTAAACAAATGATGGTGGTTGCCAGAGATGTCCTAACCTCAGCTTCTGTCCCTAGCCTGAGGCCAAATAGCGTAGTTCGTAAGTATTTTTTTTTTGTTTAGGATGTAGTTGAATCACTAGAAATGCTTACTTTTGCTTCTTTGCCTTATCAGAGGTGTTTTAATAAAGAGAGAGATTCAAGACTGGGGACAAAAGCAAAATGCTGTTCAGGTCACCTAGGAGAATGTGTAGCAAATAACAAAAACTAGGCCTGCACGAAGCGGCTAGTATTCACTTAGGATTTGGATTCGGCGGGGCAGCGATTCAGTTTGGTGATTTGAATCACTGTCCTGAATCGATTTGGCTGCCGCCAAATCTCCACATCAAACAGGCCCCATCCCCTGCCTGCTCTCCCAGCCCCCCCATGGCAGCCCTGCCTGCCCCAGCTCCCCGTTCTTAAAAAAAAAAAAAAGCCCCGCACTAGCCACCTGCTGCCAGGTGAGGGGGCAATTCCTTCTGCCCCACACTGCATGGGGGGCTCTGCCCCAAGCCCTCAAAAGCCCTGATGGCTGCGGCAGCAGCTGCTAAGTACAGGGCTTGGTGGGGTTTTTTTTTTGTTTTTCAAGAACTGATCGGGCCAAATCTCCTCCAAATTGAATCGGCACTTATAGCTTTACACAGCCCTAACAAGAACCATTTGCAAGTTTTGTTCAAGTGGCTGCAACTTAAAAGAGCAAGCAACTTCTGGAGTCAGTCCATCAAGAAGCTCCACTGAGCAGGCAAAGTTCATGGGTTTGGAGTTTTCTTGCGTAACAGCCAGAGGTTTTGGAATTGCAAACCTCCATGGGGACTGGTTAGATGTTGGACAACTGAATTTGAGCATCAAAAAGGAGGGGGGCAGGGGAGGGACAATAATAAGTTAGAGGGCATGATGCCTCCCATCTTTTCCCCTTTCCCTGCTGCTAGGACAAGTTTTCTTTAGAAATTTTAAGTTCTGAGCAGCCAGGACAAGATGAGTAAAACAGTAAGGGCTAAATGCAAAGAAAAAAAAAAGGTGGGGTGAGAAGACAACTCGGTTGCCTAAAAGGCACTGTAGCAAAATGTAAATACCCTAAGTACGAGTGAGCAATCCACAAAGTCCTGCCTAACTGATTAAAGTTCTGCTACTGTACAAGCCAAGATATGTTGTGATCTTAGGTGCTCATGTACTCATATTATCTTTGTCATGCCTAAGAGTGTTTCCAGTCAACTCCACCATGGGGCGGGGGGATCCATCTTTATAGAATCATATAATTGTTAGAGCACTTGCTAAGGAAGCAGGAAACCTAGGTTATAAGCAGTCTTCAGTCTTAGCTATGTTCCACTGCTTTGCAGACTATCCTAACCACCAAGGCATGAGGATAGTCTCCGTACCTGCCCACTGGTCCCAACTTCAACAGGAGAAAGGAGTACAAAATGCTCTAAGTCCAGAGAGAGGGAGAGTAACAAGGTGCATGACTGCTGCCCAGTGATGTGTAGAAGGAGAGAATTTTGGACTATGGTCTGTGGTTGACTTTTTTTTCTCTAATGAGTAATGCAAAATGTATGGGTCCTGGGTTCTGGTCTCTGGGTTAGGGGAGTCATGGGTTCTGGTCTCTGCTCCCACTCAGGAGAAGCTGTCATGACTGTTACAGGAGTTCTGCTCCCTCTTTCTGATATGTCTGTATCTCTCCTGGCATCTCTTTTGAAATGGTGACAGAGACCTGTAGTCAAAAATCCGTCATAATGAGTTCTACATTGACATGCAAAAACAGCAATCCTTGTTTCAAAGGTCTTATTTTTTGTTGTTGCTGTTTACAGTACATTCTATTAACCATTGAGAGGCAGATAAAAATATAATACAATATTTTATAGCTTTTTAAAAACATTTCTTTAGGAAAAGATTGCACAGGCCATGCAAATCTACCCTGAGAGGATAGAAGTCGACAGAACCGTAAAGAGTCTTGACACAGAAATGAATCGCTTAAGGGAAAAGATAAATTCAGAAGCAGATCGTCATGGAAACAGAGACGAAATAATAAAGTAAGCAGTGGTGGCAATTTAATATCTACATCTTTTGAAGGAGAGGAGTAGGACTGTTACTTTTGGGGGTCAGCATATACATGTATATGTGTGTTTTACATTTTTTTATAAATGTCCTGGTAAGTGAGGATGGATATCTTAGAACATGTAGCTCTAATGGTCTTAATTTATTTCTCTCCTCTGTATTATTACCTTTTCACCACCCAAAACTTTATGCTAGCTTTTTCATAGAACCCAAATTAGGATCCTATCCCAATCAGTTTATAATAGCTGATATTGGATACATAACAAAAAAAAGAGTTGAGGAAGGTGGTCCTCCAGGGTCTGTGCTGGCTGTAGGACACTAGCCACCTTTCTTTGAAGAGTGTTCATCCAAGGTAAGGTCCAGCTAGTGTCAGATGTGTGCCTGTTCATCTGCTTTTTGATGACGGTTCTATTTTTAGAGATGAAGGTTTTTTTGAAGATAAGGCCAAAAGGACTGGTTGAAAAGATGTATGTTCTAGTTCAGGGATGTCAAACATACTGCAGCCTGGGCTCATCTCACAGAACTGTTCCATTTGGCCTGTCAGTAGTCTGGCAGGCTGTCAGAAATTGTGGGGAAAGGAGTAGTGTGTGGCCTCCTGCAGAACTTGGGGCCTCTGGACCTTAATGGACATTGCTATTGACACCAGGAGGCAAGCAAGGGCTGTGCAGAGACCACCGCCTGACCCGGTGGCCCTGCAGATCTGGCCCAGGAGGAACCCTTGTGGTCCACATCCAGCCCAAAGGTGAAGTTAACACCCTGGTGTCTACTTCAAACAGGAATTAATTTGAGGAAGCCTTATAACCTGTGTTATATAAAGAGTCAAGCTAAATGTTGACAATGGTTTCTTATAGCTACATGTATGAATCATCCAGTCTATTTTTTGCATGTATAGGCCATAGACCATCACCCAGTAATTTTTGTATCAAGTCCAATAACTTGTGGTTGAATGACAATTATTGTTTTTAAAAAGTGGGGGGGAATGAATCGATTTTTAAGACAAATATGGGAGGGTCTGTGTATGGACTCTGTAGCAGTTCTAAATATGTTATTCCATGCTCACAGATTTATATATAGAAAATAGGCATTTTTTGTTGTTAACTGTAACTTTTCTTCTCCTAAAAGAGAATCCATTAGACTGGATTATTTTCCTCCCTGGAAAATATGTCAAAAAGCTTGCAGTGTTGGAAGGTGCCAAGCTTCTCTTTGGGAAGCTGCATACCAAAACTCACCTGGTAAGTTACTGTTGGGTGATGTTGGACATAGTCAGTTCACTTTAGGGCATACTTTGTCCTGAAGCAAAAATACCAATCATATTTTAGCCAGATACCACCCAGCAATTATGTATAATTTTTCCTAACCCCTTCAACTTGTCCATTTCCCAACAGGTGGTAAGACCTTTGGCACAATATATATTTGGTGTAATAAAAAATATTACATTTACCCAAAGAACCTTGTCTACCCATAGAGACCTTTACTTACTAAAGTTCCATCATTCCTTCCTGATCCCTTGACAACACTTGGCCTGTGCACAGCAGATGGGGGCCCAAAGCTAAGACACCGCAAAATAGGACAGCCACAGCATACAACTTAACCTGTCAAGACACAACAGAAACTTTGCATAAGTCTTGCGTAGTCCTGAGGTTAGAATCGGCAGCCAGGCATTCAGAATTTTCTTTCGGGGCTCTTTGGGTCTTAGCTGGTGAAGACAGTCCCACAAGTTTCATCTTTGCCTGGACTTTGGGTGATTTGCACATCTCTCACCCCTCTTGTGTCTTCCATGACTTGCACATCTCAGGATGTTTTCCTGGTTCTATAGTACCTCCAGGTTTCACAGGTTTTAACAAAGTGCCTGCTGCTTACTTTGGCAGACAAGGTTCTTTGGGTAGATGTATGATGATCTTTTATTATGTCGTGGAAACACACGCAGCATACTTTTGGGTCAGGTCAGCAGAAGCTTTTATTCAAAAGAAACTACAGCTGTAGGGGGGATTCCAAAGTGACATGGATTTCCCAAGCACTTGGAAGGGGTCCCCCCCCAAGAGCAAAATCAGGAGGCTTATATACTTTTTAACAGTTGCTTACAACTCACGTGATCATAAAGTGAAATTAGCATGAAAAGCGGCTATAATATTACTTTATTATTTCTTTGCTGTAATCAGGATGGGAACTAATGGGGGAGGCGAGGTTAGTTCACAAACCTTCTTCTTGCACCTGGAAATCAGATTTGTACATACTTTTTTGCTATCTTCAAGGCCGCGGTGAGCGAAGCAGTTGCAGAGGAGTTGCAAAGAACAAACACTTTCTCTTATCTGTTCTACTATACAGAGCCAGCAATTCTCCACAAAGCGGTTATGTCATCTTATAACTAAAATAATCAAAGTTTAAGGCATATATTTTTTCTGATTCCACAATTAGACCAACTAAATAGTTGTAAAAATTGTTCTTTGCAAGCTTTCTAGCACAAACACCCTTCTTCAGGCATAGGGAGAGTCTGCTGTTTTGTGTTCTCCTGGATGAAATAAAAGCCAATGTGCAAAATGCAGGTCTGTGAAAATGCAGATGCATGGCAGTGAGAATTAGAAGCCATGGGAGACTATAGGTGTGAGACGGGTAGTTATGGGGAATGTTGGCCTGGTGATAGAATGTAGCTGGTAAAATGTCGAGAGGTTACCTGGATGGCAGGCAGGTTATAATGTGCCTTAAATCCAGTGTCTGTATTTAGGCCATGATTTTTTGTATTCAGATTTATGAAATGAAGTTTGTAGGCTCGTCTACAAAAAGCATTCTGTAAATCGAATTGAGAGACTGGAGAGCGAGAGCGAGCGGGGTTGTCTTGTGAAAAGTGTGCACCCACAGGTAGTTGGGTATTTTTGTCTTTGATAGATTTTCGGTGTGCGTTCATTCTGGTACACGGTTGTTGTTTGTTTTTTCCTACACATTTTTCATCAGGGCATTTGGTGCACTGGATGAGATGTATTACATTTCTGGAGGTGCAGGTGTAAGATCCAGGAATGGTGATGTTTCTTTTGTGGGGTGTAGTTATTGTGGGAGTGATGGAGATGTGTTGAGAGGTTTTACATGTCTTGTCCTGACATAGTCGGGGCCCTTTTGGTGTGTTTTGGGCCATAGTAAGTTTGCTTCTGGTGATGAGATTGGTGAGGTTTGGTGCTTGTTTGAAGGCTAGGGTGGGTGGTTCTGGGACGGTCTTTTTAAGAACTGGGTCATCTTGTAGTATGGGTTGCAATTTTGATGATTTTCCATATAGGTTCCATAGAGGGATGGTATGTCATCCTAACTAATGGTGTGCGATTCATGAATTTTTTTTCATACCGCAACAATTCTTCACATGGTATCTGGGTGGCTGTTTTAAAAGTACGATCTATCTCTCTGGAGGAGTGTCCCTTTTGAGAGTTGCAAGGTGACAATCCCAGTCCCTCTTTCCCCTTTGGAATGTCCCAAGATGCTTTATCAGTTCTCCCTTCTAACATTAAGGGCCACAGAAGTAACCATGTAACAGAAAAAAAGTAAAGGAAGGCAGATGGCACAAGGAAGTAACGGCGATGAATCTCCTTCTCCTGTGCTGTGGAACTTCTTCTGTGTCCAGTAAGGCTGGAAGGGACAACGCCTGAACAGATGGCTCCCTATTCAGATGGGCAGAAAGTGGCAGCCTTGGTCTCCTGTGTTTTGTAGCAGGACGGCAACTCATTGTAGTACCTCAGCATCTAACTTACCAGTCTTTATCCCAGTTTCTCACACTTTAGTATCTGAAGCATTTCTGTACACACTTGATGTTTGGAAAATCTTAACAGGTTAAAAGAGAAACTGTGCAGGATTAAGCATTTCTGAAAATCTCCTTGACTATTAATTTCCACACCCAAATGATCTAAAGCACAGCAATTTGGGTCCAGACACTGTCTAATCAGATTTCGGACTGATTCACATTGCACAATAAGTTACACCCACTGGGTGTGGTTCGAGTTTATTCCATCAGACCCCAAGTTCCACCGAGATGCCATCGTCATCACGTCTCTGACATTGGCTAGGCAGCTACCTGGAGTTTCGCATGTACCTTCAAAAAAAAAATACCATCCAGGATGCCTCTAGAATGTGTTCTGTGTTTGAAAAGTGTGCTAGCCACTGTTTTGAAGTCCTCCACATGGAATATGCATACGAACAAATGCTTGAAGGGGAAATAAGTTACTTACCAGTAACTGGAGTTCTTTTGAAAATGATTCCTATACTGTATGCACATTTGGCATCCCACTTCCTCCTCCCCTTCCAGAGTGCTAGGGACTCCAAGGGATTCTGGGGTTGAAAGCAAACTGAGTAGTATGGAGAGCATGCTGCGGTTTATACCCTCCTCATAGAGTATGTGGAGAGTCAGGGTGTGTGCATACTATACAGATACTGTTATGGCAAAAAAAAAGTCTCTGAATTAATATACTTAAGGTTCATATATAGACACAGTGGAGTGTATATATGGAGAACAAAACCTGAAGTACAGTGACTGGTAAATAATTTCTTTCCTTCTCTTAGGTGCCCAAATTGTCATCATTTTGGTTGGTATCTAAAAAAAGGAATTTTACTAGGTTGGTTTTAAATTCAAATATTTGAAAACTTGCTTAAATTTAACTTGATGCTTACTTATACATATACTTTTCTGTTAAAAACAGGGAGTTCTGTGAAGCAAAGGACAAATATGAGGATGCAGAAGGTAAAGTGAAAAATCTGAAGAAATTTATTAAACTGTTGGATAAAATAATGACACAGAGATACAAAACGTATCAGCAGTTCAGAAGGTAAGTTTTTACTGGTTCAAGCACTCCATGTAATTTCATGTGTAAGAGCAAGTTAAAAAGTTAGTTTTTAAATATTGTGGACTTTAAAATTGCGCAGGGTCTCTCATAGGAAATCATTATACATTTGTCTTGTCTTAGTCCCTCATGCCATATGTACTTTAGTCCAGGGTTTTTCAACCTTTTTAATAACTGTACCCCCACTGGCCCCCTTTTTAATAAGTATACCCCTGGGGCGCAGGTGACAAGCGGTCGGGTGCGGAGCTGGGGGTAGCCAAACGACCAGATGCATGGCATCCGTGCAGCCCTGCTCTCGCCCTGCCCCGGCCCTGCTCCTGTGAGGCAGTAGTGCAGGGTGGCGGCACTCTGTCCCCACATACCCCCTTGGACCTTTCAAAGTACCAGCAGGGGTATGTGTACCTCTGGTTGACAACCCCTGCTGTAGTCAGTAGTGGTCTATTTTTTGCCTCCTTTTCTATCCCTCTCAAAACAAAAATAATTGCAGAAGGTATGTCAATATTTGCTCCTGACTAAATGTAAAAAAATCAGACCTTAGCTTTAGTTATTTCCTTCAGTGAATTCCGTGTACAGAATGTAACCAGAAAGCTTTGTTTAGATGTTAGCAATCCAGTAACTAGATTCTTTATTGCTGGAGAGTTTAAGTGGAAGTCAGCACACATCTGGATTTAGAATACAGACTAAAAATTGTGGACAGCTGTTTTCTGCCAACCCTCTTCTAGAAGCTTGTGGAGTTGCTTGGTTCACTAATACTTCACTTGTGGTATGAAAAATGCACTTACTGTACAAAATTGGATTCTTTTGGCCAGCGGTATCCACTAGGGCTTTTTTTAAAGCCTAGATTCCTTTGTATATCCGAGCTGGATATAAGGAATATAGTAGATTCAAGCCATCTCCCTTAGTTCCTTCTTAATGTTCATGGAAATGAGAGAGAATCTCTGTACTGTTTGCCTTATTCATCAACAGCAGTAATTACTAGTTACTGAAAAACTTGGGGCATCAGGGTAAGAGTTCATTTTCCTTACTGTATATACCCTCTGGGATGGGACACTGCATAAATATTGGTTCCTCCCTCCAGGAAGGGTAGTACTTCTCATTACCCCGATCTAAACACAGCAAGGTGTCATCCCCTACCTGCCTTTGCTTTCATAGGTAGATGGTTTTAATGTGCTCCCTAAAAGGCAGAATGTTCCTGCTGCTTCTCTAGGGATCCACATTACAAGTACTGACAGAAATCATTGCAGTTGTGCATTATTTCAACAGATCAGACAAAGTGAATAGTCTCTGCTATTTGGCTGTGCAGTTGGGACCGTAAATCACTGTCCTGGTTGCTCTGCCCCTACTAGCCTGCAGATGCCTTGGCGGGTCAATTTAGCAGAGAGTTCTCAAACATTTTGTCAGGGTTTCACTCCTGCAGAACATCTATGGGAAGGAAGAGTGAAGAGTAGCAGAATAATGGCTATGGGCTTCAAAAAAGCAGGTTTAGGGGATTGCTAACTAAGGTATTCCTAGAAAAAAAGTTTTATGGGAATAAGTTCATGAGAACAGGTACTGTATTTATCCAAATTAAAGGTGACTTATAATTTTAAGAATCTAATTATTGGAGAATTGTCTTAAATTTGTTCCTCACCACTAGTGTGGCAGGAAAGCAGCAGTAGAGTTGGCAGGTGGCAGGGGAAGCAGGGAGGAGCTGGCAGCTTTATTCTTGCCTCCTGGTGCCTCCCCATTTGCCTTTCAATCTTTCCTCCTGCTACCTATCTCCCATCCCCTTCCACTGCTTTCCTTCGCTAATCTAGGCACAGGGGCAGCCATGGACCTGCTTCTGACCTGCGCTGCAGGGAGCCTGACTTGGCTGGGAGACACTGAAGCAGTGCAGATTCCTCCTTCCTTGCCTGGCTCCCCTCCCCATGTCCTTTGTTGGCCAGGAGCCAGCTGTAAAGAGGAACCAGTGTGCTGTGGCAGCTGCTCCTTACAGCACTGAGTAGAAGCAGAATCAGGAGCAACTATGGGGCTCTCCCTTTGCCTGCATTATCTGGTTGTTGGATTGGTCCAGCTGGGAGCTGTGGCAAGTGGGTGTTCAGGGAGCCTGGCTTGGCTGGGGACTGCAGCAGTGGCACACAGATTCCTCCTTCGTTATCTGACTCCCCACCAGCGAGGCAGATGGAAGAGGTGGGCAGGGAACAGACGCTGGAAGGAGGAACCAGCATGTTGCTGATGCTGTCCCTGGTCCAGCTGGAGTTGCTTGATATTCAGCTCTAAGATGAGGCTTTGTTTTCCCCATGTTGAATGGCGGGAAAAAAACCTTGTCTTGGAATGGAGTAAATATGGTATTTCTAGTTTGCTGCTGTGCTTTCAATAGCGTGCTACAAAGGAAAGAGAGGAAGTACAATACGAGACAAATGGCTGTACTCCTAGTTCTTTAATGACTTGAAAAGCAAATAGGAATCATGGAAAAGGTGAAAACAAGGACACTTTGCTTCTGCTGAGTATAGAAGAACAGCATATGTATGTAGACAAAATTAAAGGATGTGGAGAAAAATGAATTACCATTAGAAAGAGACATAACAGGCAATAACAAATAGTTCTTTAAATACAAATACATTAAAAGCAAGCAAGATTAAAGGAAAATGCAACTGCCTTACTTAATAGGGAAGGTGAATAAATAAAGAATTCTACAGAGCAAACAAGCGGTCTCTCGCCACCCTGCATCACCTTTTACTAAAAAGGTTAATTGTGACTAGAAGCTTCATACGTCAAAGTTAAACAATGGCTTAGAAACATAGCATATAATGGGGAAAGATCAGGTTAAAGAATATTGAGATCAGGGGTGTCAAAGATAGAGCCCACAGGCTGGATTTGCACATGGTACTACAGCATTTGGCCCCTTGTGCTTGCTGGCCCTGGGTCTCAAATTGGCCCAAATGCAGCACATGCTGGACTGGTGCCATGTGCAGGACCCAAGACAGGCAGCACCTGCTCCACAACCTTCACTGCGTGCAGTACCTCCATGGGCCAGTCTGGGACCACACCCTTCATCACTGTCCCCGCTCTCATCCTTACTCTCCCCCTGTCGCCCCTGCATGTCAGATCCAACTTCCACTGATACCCTGGTCTGGGGCACGAGCCACATGCAGGCAGTCCTGGATTAGCCAGAGAAAGTACTGGATCCAGCATGTGGGGAGCAAGGGGAGCATAGGTCCCCAGCATGTTAGATCCAGTGACCACTCTGGCTAGTCCAGGAATGTGATGCATGTTGCACCTGTCCCAAACTGGCTGGAGTGGTCACTGCATGTGGCTCATATCCCAGTGTGCCCAGAGTGGGTGCTGTAGGCAGTACATCAATCATGTGGGAGTAGGAGGGTGACTTCCATGGGCCTGATTTGGCCCACAGGACTGGCTTCACACCATTCATTTAATCACTGAACTAGTCCCATGCCATTCATCTGGCTCACAGTATCAGATGAGTTTGACACCCCTACTTTGGTTAACAGTCTGATAATACATGGAGGCTCCAGGACTAAAAAATAATAAATATAAATGAGGGGAAGAAAAGGACCCCCACAAATTCAAGTCCCGCCAGTTTATTTTTGATACCAAGAAACAGGGTGTTTTATGTACTGGAACGTGTTAATTAGGATGCTTGTGGAATCCCTGTTACTGGAAGTGTTTAAGGACATGTTAGACATCTGTCAGGAAGAGTTTAGGGCAGGGGTCGGCAATCTTTTTATAGTGACAGGCCAAGTTAATGGAGCTTGGTTCAAAGGTGGAAAGCTGCTTTCAACCCAGTCATGGATGCATGCTGCCAATGTGCCACTGACATCCCAGCTCCACAGGATGGATTTGCTCAGCAGGCCATAGGTGGCCCAACCCTGGTCTATAGCATACAGTCTTAGAGCAGGGAATGGACTCTTTGAGATGCCTTCCAGCTTCAGTTACTTCTTCAAGTGGCGATTCCCAGAAACGGGTTTATCCGCCACAGACCTCAATAGCAAGTTTCAAACATTTTACTCCGGAGGCGGTTCTAGCCCAGGCTCCGTGTCATCCCTTGACTGTCAGATCTGATGTATGTGTTTTTACTGATTTCCCCTGCTATCAAGTGTTCTGAGGTAACTGAAGCAAAATACAGGTCTGGAATGAGCCAGGCAGTCCCAGTATTAGTTTCTTTATTAGTAATCTCAACAGTTATTCTTCCTTCTTGTTATGGCATCTTTTCAGATATTTAAAAACTACTATGATATCCCCTCCCTTGTACCTCTTCTTGAAACTAAACACCTAGTTCTCTCAACATTTGCTCATATAACTTGTATTCCATCCCTTTTATCATCTGTTTTCACTCACTCTGGGTCCTCTCAGCTAGGGACAGACATTCAAAAAGCTCAAGCCTGAATTGATTCACTCTTTGCAGGTTAGTATAAGCTGCACAGCTTAAACTGATTAATAACTGGACAGACATTCTTTGTTAAACGAGGAAATGCAGTCATATGCCTGCAGTGGCTCAAGCCAGAAGCTGATGCCTGGAGGGCCCCAAGCCAGAAGCGGGGGGCCGCTAGAGTATGCCTGCCAGCCACTGCAAAGGGAAGGAAGAGATGCCTTCCATGGTGTTCACCCCTCCTGGCTGGAATGGAGAGGGCATGGCCAGGCACCAGCCGGGACTAGCACAACACATGGAATGCCAGCCATCAGCCTGGTATGGGGGAGAGAGAGGGAGCACAGCTGCTGCCAGACTGAGGATGGGGAAGAAGTCCTTTCTCTGAAGCAAGCCCATATTAAACTCAGCAATTTGCAAAATAGACAAAAGGAAACTACCAAAAATCTCCACCTAAGCTAAGATAGAGCCCAGTAAAATGCAGCGTACGCAACTTAGATTCATAGATGTTAGGGTCGGAAAGGACCTCAATAGATCATTGAGTCCGACCCCCTGCATAGGCAGGAAAGAGGCGCGGGGCCAG